TGGGCTTAAGCTGGGTTGACAACTAACAGCTCACCAATAATTTGATGTAACCATATTTAAAGAAGTATATGAATTCAGCAAATTCCATTCCAGAGAGCACTACTGGAACAGTGATTTTCTATCTGGCAAGCCAAACTTCTGACACTTCAACTCTACCTCTCTATGGGTCCCTAGGAAGCAGTTGTATTTTTGGGGAGATAGCCTTTACCTTTCTGAACAGTTGGGCACAAGGTCTATTTGCAGACGTCCCATAGAACCAGGCAAGTACCTAATGTCATCAGGTTCCTGAATTTTTTTCTTTTTTTTTAGATTTTTATTTTTTTATTTATTTGACAGAGAGAGAGAGAGAGAGACAGCTAGAGAGGGAACACAAGCAGGGGGAGTGGGAGAGGGAGAAGCAGGCTCCTGGCTGAGCAGGGAGCCCGATGCGGGGCTCTATCCCAGGACCCTGGGATCATGACCTGAGCCGAAGGCAGACGCTTAACGACTGAGCCACCCAGGGGCCCCTGAATTTCTTTTTTTTAAAGATTTATTTATTTGAGAGAGAGAGAGAGAGGTGGGGAGGGGCAGAAGCAGAGGGACAGAAAAGTCCCAAGCAGATTCTAAGCGGAGTCTCGATCTCAAAACCCCGAGATCAGGACCTAATCTGAAACCAAGTCAGATGCTCAGCTGACCTCACCCCTCAGGTGCCCCAAGTTCCTTTCTAACACGAGCCAGTAGCCTGAGGATTTTCCAAATCAACCCACTTTAAAATCAAGTTTATTTCTGGACAGGCTTCAAAGATTGGTGGATTCCAGGGCTTCTCCATGTTTCAACGTACAAGTGGGAGAACTTTGGCCATCTGGGCCATCTAAGTCCCTAAGAATCTCTCTGGCAAATGAAACCACAACTTCAGTGAGACTCTGAATTTAACCAAACACTAGTCTCCCGGGAAAGGTGTCATACACTGGTGTTGGGCATGGATTCCCAGCTTACCAATATTGTTATAACATCAATACTGATGGTTTCTTTTTTTTTCTTTTTTTCTTTTTTTTTTTAAAGATTTTATTTATTTATTTGACAGAGAGAGACACAGCGAGAGAGGGAACACAAGCAGGGGGAGTAGGAGAGGGAGAAGCAGGCCTCCCGCAGAGCAGGGAGCCCGATGCAGGGCTCGATCCCAGGACCCTGGGACCATGACCTGAGCCGAAGGCAGACGCTTAACGACTGAGCCACCCAGGTGCCCCAATACTGATGATTTCTATGTCAAATGTCTTATAGTATGCTTTTGTAAGCCTTATCAAAACTTATCTTTTAATTTTAAATATATACTTAATTTTTTCCCTTAAGTTATATATCAATGAATAATTTATCTGTGTTGTTCGCAGGAACTTAAGATCAGCTTTTTTTTTTTTTTTTTAAAGATTTTATTCATTTGAGAGAGAGAGGGAGACAGAGCACAAGCAGGGGGGAGAAGCAGAGGGAGAAGCAGGCTCCCGCTGAGCTGAGAGCCTGATGTGGGGCTCAATCCCAGGATCTGGAGATCATGACCTGAGCTGAAGGCAGACGCCCCATCCATCTGAGCCACCCAGGTGCCTCAAGACCAGCTTTTTAACAGTAATCTTTAACAACAATATTTAATAGCTCTTAAATGCATGGTCTAACTAAACAATTTATTTTTGAGGTACCTTAAATCCATGACAATTTAAGTGATCAAAGTATAGACTGTAAGAACAATGGCATTGGACACACATTGTTTCCCCGGCATCCACGTTTCCCTCACTTCCTTCCAACAGCCCTGGATTTTTCTTGGGGGGGGGGAACCCACATGGTTCTGAGGAAACTGACTCCACTTCTGAGGCTCCAGTGAATATTCATTAATGGGCATGTAACCTAGGCCAATTCATTCAGAATGGATCTCAGGATTGGTCTGGCAATATTGGGACACGGGTGTTTATGGGTGTTTTCTTTTCCCTTCTAGATATGAACAAAGATTCAGGTGACCCCAGGAGTAGTTGGCAGTTACTTTTGGTTCCTAGAGCATTATTCATTCACTTGTTTATTCAGCAAACATTTATTAACATCTACTGTGTTTTAGATATCAAGATATAAAATTGAGTCAAAGTACGTTAAGATACTTATTTTCTAATGGAATAAACAGAGAGGTGTAATGGGAGAGGGAGCAAATAAGTCAATATTCACAGAGACTGAAAGAACAGATTCTTGGTGTGGATCAGATTAATTGCTTCATCTGAGCTAGAAGTAGCTGTATCTGGGCATCCTCCTTATAGAGTTGATATCATCATTAGTCTGCTCTGAACCATCCAATTAACTGTGCTTTTACTGAAATTCCTTACAGTAACCTAATTACAAAAGGAAGGGTTGCAGAGTCTGCTCAATCCTCAATCACTGGCTAGTGTCTTAAGCCAAAGTAGAACCTTAACTTGAAACCAGTCTTCTGCTTACATATAAATATTTGGATAGTAATGTCAATATCATGTTTCATAGCTAAAGAGGCAAGTAAGACACGTTGACTATGCATTAAATAGTATATTGAATATGCCTTAAATATCATCTGGAGACAAGAGACAGTAGCACTATGCGTCCTTAAAGACGTCTTTTATGGTATATATCCCTCTGTGAACAACTTAGATACAAACGCCCCCACCATTACCACAATACCAATATCTGGCCCCTCTGAATAATTATCCAGGGAATATGTAAAATACCAGAGAATCTAGAGCAGGTCTTCTCAACAGGTAGGCCTGGTGGGAGGAATACCTTCCTAGGGTGTCTTATTAGAATCATCTGGGTAGTTTTCCCCAACTAAACACACCTACACCTCATCCTGGGATTTCCATGTGGGCCACTCCCAGAAAGGCACTTCAGGAGTACATCCCTCTTCCCCAAGGAAGGTGGTTCTCTCTCTCACTTATAAAGGGTGGAAAAAAAGTTGAGGCTTGGTCTAGTGAATTGCAGTATGAAGAGAGGGCTGTGAAACAGTGCACTGCAGGATAAATAGCAAATTGTCCAGCTGATGGAAGACAACCAGAATCATTAAATCATTGTATATATGTCATATATATGCAAAAGCTTTGATCACTGAATTTTCTAATATTGGCCAAAGATAGAACAAAAGTCATCATTTTATTTTACAAATCTGAGTTCTAATATAAAATTTATGGGTCAAGTATTGCTGAGAGCTCCTACCAAATGGCTTCTTGTTGCCAAGGAAAATGTAAAGACCTTTTGCCTGGGTCACATGTAAAAATCACCTCCCAACATATATTATCTTACATGAGATACATGGATCTAGACAGGTGACTCAATAGGAACCTGTGAGTACCAGCTAGACTAATATAATTATTGGTTGCTTGAAGTATTTCAGCCTAAGCTTTAGAAATGTGGGAGGTAGATGAGATAGGGTAGAAGATTCCAGGGAAGTTGAAGAGGACGCAAAAGGGAGCAAAAATTGTTAATAAAAGTCCTTACAAAGTTTTCTCCTGATTGTAGTGATTTCTACATTACACCCAAAGAATGCAAGGAAATGATAAATTACATGGAAGAATGGCTTTCATGTACTTTGCCAATCTCAAATGTGTTGAAAATAATTCCCTCTCCCTGTTTTATTGCTGAACCTGACTTAGGCTTCAGTTCAGCCTTTTACTCAATTTTAAATTAGCTTCTTAGGGTATAAAGTTGTGAGATAAAGGGCTCAGCATATGCTCTCCCATAGATGTCCCAACATTTCAGAGTTACAGTGTCATTCTTATTTTTTACATACTCCTACTACATAGCCGGAGTCGGACTTAAGACATTAAGAATTTAAAAGCAAACCCACCTTTTTGGAATTAACCCTCAGAAGACCCAGATGGGTATTAAAAACTGAGGTTATGTTGGAAAAAAAGCTACAATGTGAGACATTTTGAAGGTCCTCAAACCTTAAAAATGTAACAAAACTTAAAAAAAAAAAAAAAAGTTGAAAGCCTGTCAAGGTGGTAGCTTATTAAGTTCCTGCAATCACAGGGGATTTACACCGGCACCAGGATCCAAAATGTTAGTGTTAGGCACAGATACGTTATTTAGCAAATAAAATGATCCCCAAAAGATGGAGGCTGGGGGGTGGGGGCGGAGAGGGACTTTTGCTAAACTGTCGTGGAAAAAATTTCCAAAGAGCGTTACAGATCAGAGGCAACCGTTAGGCCAGAGGCGTCCACATCAGCGCGTCCCCCCTGGGCCCAGAGGCCGCGGAGCTCCCTCGGGTCTGGTCGCCTCTGCGCCCCCGGGGCCGCGCGTCCCCACCTCCGCTCTGTGCAGCCAGCACCCGGCGTGGGCGCTGGCTCGGGACCGAGGCGTCCGGGCTCCCCCCACCACAGCCCCAACCCTGCCTCCCGAGCCAGCTCCCCGGTTCGCAACTCAGAGAGCCAACACGACCCTGTGAAGTTGTGGTGGGAATTATGCCTCTGCTGACTCCCCGAAAGTCGGCCGGGCTCTGGAGGACTGAAAGAGCTCGTCTTGGGGTTAGCGCGCTCACTTCTGAGGAACCTCCGCTCCCGGGACACGTTCGATGCGGCCGTGGAGGGAACCGGGCGCCGCTGGCCGAGGTGGGGCGGCGGCCCACGCGAGGAGACAGAGCAGGGCAGTCAGTAGTCAAAAGTCGGCCTAGGGCCCTGGGAAAACGTGAAATTCCCCCCTCAGTCCTCTCACGTGGGCCTCGCACGTTCCTCGTCGCGCTCGGGCGCACCTAGCCACCGCCCCACCGTCCCACCCGCGTCCTACCCTAAACTGGCAAAGACCCGATGTTAGGACCGCGCGGAAGCCAGGGAAAGAGAGAGACCGAGAGAGAGAGAGAGAGACCGAGAGAGAGAGAGGAGTGGTCGGGTAGCAGTTGGGCGTGGCTTCTCTGAGAGGCGGCCCCTGGGGGCGGGGAGAACTACGCAACCGTCGACTCTGGCCGCTGATTGGCTGAGGTGCCTGCGCGGAGCCCGCAAGCGTCTCCGCCCGGCCCGGGCGCTCCTCCTCCTCTCCCAGCCGCTGGGTCCACACCGGCTCGCGAGGGAACCGCTCAGGCGCCGCCGCCCCAGCCCAGTGCGGACGACGGGAGAGAGGGAGGAGGAAGGAGAACACACTCGCTTGCTTGCTCCCACCCGCACTCGGGCTCCCAGAGCCGGCGCGGAGCCCAGGGGGAGGAGCCGCCGCGGGCACGCCCCGCCTCCGGCCCGGGAAGACGACGCCAGCGACCCCGCCGGCCGGCCACCGCCCCCCTCGCCGGCCGAGACCCGCCCCCGGCCCCGGCCCTGGCCCTCCCCTGGCGGCATGGAGGGGCCCCGCTCCTGACGGCCGCGCCGCCGCCTCGGCTCCCGCCCCCCCTCCCGGCCCCGCCCGCCTGCCCGCCCCCGCTCGCATGTCTGTGCCGCCTTAGCCGAGGATGCTGAGGATGAAGCTGCCGCTGAAACCGACGCACCCCGTGGAGCCGCCGCCCGAGGCGGAGGAGCCCGAGGCAGACGCACGGCCGGGCGCAAAGGCGCCGCCGCGCCGCCGTCGAGACTGCCGTCCCCCGCCGCCGCCCGCGGGCCCGCCGCGGGGCCCCCCCCCGCCGCCGCCGCCACCACCGCCGCCTCCGCCGCCGCCGCCGCCCCGGGGGCTCGGGCCGCCTGTTGCTGGCGGACCAGCGGCGGGGGCGGGCATGCCGGGTGGCGGCGGCGGCGGGCCCGCGGCGGCGCTGCGCGAGCAGGAGCGAGTGTACGAGTGGTTTGGGCTGGTGCTGGGCTCGGCGCAGCGCCTGGAGTTCATGTGCGGGCTGCTGGACCTGTGCAACCCGCTGGAGCTGCGCTTCCTCGGCTCGTGCCTGGAGGACCTGGCGCGCAAGGACTACCACTACCTGCGCGACTCAGAGGCCAAGGCCAACGGCCTCTCGGACCCGGGGCCGCTGGCCGATTTCCGAGAGCCGGCCGTGCGCTCGCGCCTCATCGTCTACCTGGCGCTGCTGGGCTCGGAGAACCGTGAGGCCGCCGGCCGCCTGCACCGCCTCCTGCCCCAGGTGGACTCGGTGCTCAAGAGCCTGCGCGCGGTTCGGGGTGAGGGTTCGCGGGGAGGCGCGGAGGACGAGCCCGGCGAGCGCGGAGAGGACGGCGAAGGCGAGGAGGACGCGGAGAAGGACGGTTCCGGCCCGGAAGGCAGCGGCGCCGAGCCCCGGCCCGGCGGCGGGCTGGGCTTCAGGGCGCAGGAGGAACTGCTGCTGCTCTTCACCATGGCTTCGCTGCACCCGGCGTTCTCCTTCCACCAGCGGGTCACCCTGAGGGAGCACTTGGAGAGGCTCCGCACTGCGCTCCGCGGGGGCCCCGAGGACGCGGAGGTGGAGGTGGAGCCGTGCAACTTTGCCAGACCCCGGGCCCAGGTAAGGCGCGCGAGCCTCCCAGCACCCGCGTTGCGGTCACCGCCCCGGCGGCCTCCCTGGCCTGGCTTTCGGACGCCTCTTGGCCGAGCTTCAGCCCGGGGCAGGTGGCTCGGAATCCCCACCCCACGGCTCCCAGCGCCGTTAATACTAATTTTCGTTCTGCTGGGCGGTTCAGTTCCACTCTCCCACCCTCACCGCCGCCCCCCCTCCCATGCACACTCAGGCACCCGCCATAACAGAATGCTCTAGAAGTCTCTTCCGTGCGGGAGTTGCCACGGAAAACATGGAGCTCTCAGCCTAGTCCCCCTCTCGGAGGAAGGGTCTCGGGACATTTTTGGCTCGGAGCATGTCGCCCTGGGTGGTGGGAAAGGCGCAGCGCTAGAGGTGACTGTGTTAGCCTCAGTCTAGCCCCCGGCAGCGCCTTGGCTTTCTCGCCATCTGGCGCTCTGGTTGCAGTTTTAAAGCTCTGCCTTCTCCCCTCGCTGAGGTGTTCTAAAGGTGCGCTCTCGGCGTGCTGCCCTTGTCTTCAGCACAAAGGGGCTCTTTTTGCTCAGTGAATGCCCGAGTTTATTAAAAGGGGTCGTAGGGCTTTTGGCTCTTGCTGCTAACTTGATGTTCCCAGAAAAAAACCTGATGTGGAGAGCGGCGAATTGACTCAAACTTGATGATCAGTAGCGCAGGTTGCCTGGGTCAAGAAACCTCTCCTGGAGCGGGCTGCTTACACCTTTTACCTCTGGCATAACTTATTTTCTATCCATTGAGTCTTGCCTACAGATTTGAGTCCGGGGGTGTTTGTTGGGCCTTTAATGTAGGCATAAATGTTGTTTTCTAAAAGTTGTTAAACCGAAATGTAGTAGACAAGAATCCAGATGAGTCACTTGTCTCAGACATTAAGGTGAAATTTTATAGAGCCGTGAAAGCAATTTAATAATAATGTAGGCCCAGTATAAAAGTCTTTGATCGTAATAATTTAAGTGAGGAGAGGAGAGTAGGTTTCAGAGTAAAGGCTAGGTACAATAAGTTTATTTTCGGGGTTTACAGTCTTAAAAGGTACTAATTTGGTTGCCATACTTTTCAACCTAGGTGATCTCCAGGATGATATATTGGAAAGGGGGATTTTTTTTTTCTCCTTCCTTCCTTGAAAGTTAATTCAACTTATGTATCTGCTGTCATTCAATACTCTGGAACTAAAACTGGGCATTGTATTTCTCCAAAGGCTGTGTGGACTCAATACCCATTGAATCAAGGAATTTGGGGGCTGGAAGGGATTTAGCGATAATCTAGGCTGCGCCCCTCCTTTTTAAAACGAGGCTTCTGTGAAGTGACTAACTCACATTTTAGGACACGTTTTATCAGACTCCAGTGTAGTAATGCTAGTATCCGGTATTTTTTTGGTGAGCTTCAAATTTTGTCTTCCGGTGTCAATTTACTACTAATATGCAGCTGTGTATACTGTTGGTAAAAGCCCTTTCCCACTCTTAGCCTATTTACTGAAATAATTACAAAAAGTCCTATAAGCCACTTATATTTGGAGAAGAAAGCCTGAAATTAGGAGCAATACTTCTATCTTATTTTTTTAAAAATTTTATATATTGTAAACATCTTAGATTGTAGGTATATGAAAATGTCACACAGTAGAACAGTTTTAGTCCGTATCATTCCAACACGGGTAACCGATTTCTGATTTTAACTGCTAGGAGTCTTCCCCCCCGCCCCCCCCCCCCCCATTAAATTTTGCTTGTAATGAGAGGGTCGGAAGGCGACTAGAGAAAGGGAGAAATGCGTGCAAACTAGAGTAACGAGATTTTCATCTTGACTGCAGAGTGTGGCCTTTTCTGGCAACCGGTGAGTGCTGGGAGGAGTGGGCAAAGTGAGGTTGGGCATCCTGCCATTAATTTCAGCACATCGTTACTTCTCAGGCAGAGCCCTGTGCTGAGGCCATCAGTTGAAGTGGGGGAATAAATCATACGGGATACACGTACTACAGGTGACGCTGGCGGCTATTTTTAGACACTGGTGGCGTGATGAACTTTTCCCTCGGGTAGCTTAGGGTTACCGTAACAAATCATTCACGTCTCATTAAATTGTTCTGACCCCGCACTTTCTGCTTGTTAGCCTGGGCTCTGAGGCCCTCAGCTGTGACTTGTTCTGGCCTTGAAGACATTTCCGCGGATCTTGTTGCTCCCAAGCTGTCACTCCAAAGGCAGCTGATGGGGGTGGATGGATTTGCATCTCGGTTCGCTGCAGTCCAGACCAGCTGATGCTCGGCCTTGCGCCGCCGGTACGCTCCCGGTGGGGTAGGACCCACCTCGGAGTCTGCAGGGAGGTGCCCGAGTCTGGCACGTCCGTCGCGTGGACGCGACGCGGCGCGTCGGTGGGCCCCCCGGTCACGCGCCGCCGCGGACTGGCCGACGCGTTTGGGGACCCGGCCCTTGGGGCTCCTCCCCGCCCCCTCCCTGCAAGATGGCGGCCGCGGCCGCCCACGTGACTGGCGCGCCGGCCCCGCCCCTGGGGGGGCGGGCTGAGGCGGGGCCGCGCCTCCCGAGGGCTCCCTTAGGCCTCCGCCGGCTAGGCCCCGGCTGCGGGCAGCGCGGAGAACCGCGTGGACGGTGGGCTCGGAGAGTGGCAGGGGGAATTCGTGTGGCAGCCCTTCACGGCCCCGGAAGTAACCTTTTAGACACACGTGTGTAACTTTCGGCGAGGAATCACTCCATTTTTCACTGCTTTAATCCATACGAAACGCATAAAGTGGAACTAATTTCCTTTTCCATTAGAATAAAAGTATGCTATCCCCGAATAGTGTTTCTGGCGCTTTCAAGACTCGGATTCAATACCTAATATGCAGCAGCTTCTCTTTTAAAGTTTTCTGTAAAAAACCAGTAACGTTTACAGATAGAACGTGTGTTTTAAGGCGAATTTTATGTTAATTATATGCTTTCAAGTTGACCAGCCCCAGCAGCTCTTTAGTGACCTACCATGGTTACCATTGCTAACTAATAGTTGAGAGGGCAAGTCCACAAACTTACCACTAGAATATACTAATTAGGTCATTTTAGAAAAATGAAGGAAGATTCAAGAAGATTTTTACATTTAAAAGTAATATTTCTCGAGGTTGTTTTTTTTTTATGAGATTTGGATAATGTTAAGTGATTTAGAGTAAATGTTACATTGGATTACAACTTAAATATTGCCTTTAGAAGACTTGTGCATAAAGTTCATCTTCTTCAACTGCTGTGGACTGCCAGTCACTTATATAAAATTCAGCATACAATATGCATTAACAGTGTCCTGGGAAGTTTGTGTGATTGATGTAGTTTGCTGTGTTAATAAAGTTACAGACTGCCTATATAGCGTCGCTGAAAAAAAAATGGTTTTAAAAGGGGGCCCCTTATTAGGAACCCAAACTGTAAATGGCCTGTTAGCAATAGTGACAAAAACCTGCCTAAGTATTTTAAAAGATGCTAGTTTTGTTGCTGTTTCATTGAAAAGAGAAAGACAGCCAAGCTTCCTATCTTTGCATGCTTAAAGACTCTCCTAACTGCTCAAGCAAATGGATATTCTAATTTGGGGGGTTTAACCCCCAATTAGCAACACAAAGGCCGAAAAAAAAGCATAAAATGCATAGACTATCGTAGTAGTGGTTAGTGGTTAATATTGTGTGGCGGTGTTTCCCTGGAGATTGTGTTTTCAGTATCTTCAAAACATAGTTGCTTGGCAAATAGCTTGAATAAAACAGAAACTGAAAACTTTAGATAGTATTTAGTGTGGTAGATAGTATTTAGTGTTACTTGAATTAACAAGAAACATACCAGAACTACAAAAAAAATTAAGTGGCCCTGCCTCTTACAAAAATCAATGAAGATAACAAAAAATTGTTACTTTCTCGTAGCATAGGTTAATTAATACGGTACTTGACAGAGTCAGTATCTCAACTCCTTTTGCTAGTACAGATAATGTACTGGTAGTACATCCCACAATCCAGTTCTCTCAGCAGTACCATTATACTTATTTATTTATTACCACTATACTTATTTATTTATTTGACAGAGAAAGACACAGTGAGAGAGGCAACATAAGCAGGGGGAGTGGGAGAGGGAGAAGTAGGCTTCCCGCGGAGCAGGGAGCCCGATGCGGGGCTGGATCCCAGGACCCTGGGTTCACGACCTGAGCCAAAGGCAGATGCTTTAACGATTGAGCCACCCAGGCGCCCCTATTTTTAATTTTTTAAAATTTATTTATTTTAGAGAGAGAGAGCACGGGCGCAAACTGGGCAGGGAGGGAGGTGCAGAGGGAGAGGGAGAGAGAATCTTAAGCAGATTCTGCGCTGAGCATGGAGCCCAACTCTGGCTCCATCCCATGACCCTGAGATCATGACCTGAACCAAAATCAGGAGTTGGGCCCTTGGTCGACTGAGCCAGCCAGCACCCCTGGGGCATTTATTTTTAATATTTATATTGTAAAGATCTGGTATGCCACAGATAAAATAAACCCAAAGGAAGCATTTTTCTGGGTCACAAATTATTAAAGTACATATTCTCTCCATAGTGGGTTTGGGGATAGGAATGGGGAACATACATATTCTGATTTTGGGTTATCAGTAACTCCCGTGCACCCATAATCTACTTAAATCTTTATCCAGTTTTCACATTTAGTTAGGAAACTATTCTATAATTTAAAGCTGTTTTGCAGTTTTGTTAGGTTATATAACTTTTTATTACTTCAGAGCACAGCCTGAATAAAGGAACATTTTGTGCTTTTTCTAATAGAACCTACTAAATTGGCTAATTTTTAAGCTTATTATTTTTGTCTTTCCTTGAGAAATATTAAGCTAAATTTTTTTTTTTTAAGAGAGAAGCAAAAAAGACATGCATTACCCTTGAAGCAGACTGAGCTTCGACTCTTTTTTTCATTATGGAGGACTGTGGAACAGCACTCCTCTTACAGAGAATGCTTTGTCACAAAGCCTCCTTCACGCAGTCTGTGTAAACAGTCACCCTAGA